AAGAGAGGGTTGCCCACAAGGGGAGAGCCTAAAAAAAAGGCCAAAAGGGCTACCCCTAGTTCAGTGCCACCCAACCCATTAAAGAATAGGGTGTGAAGCCTTAAACATACAAATGAGTAGAGCTTAGTACCCTTGGGGTCTTTCAGGAGTGTGATGGTGTCTCTGTGTGGGACTCAGGTTACATGTGCTCATTATGGCACTTTCTCCTCCCTGGTCCAAGGACAGGAGGCTCCAGTGTATCGCTGGAAGGTGGTGTACTGGATTAGCATGTAAGGGGGTGGAGTGAGGGCGCAGCGCTGGAGACAGAAATTGTGGAGAAATCTTTCCCCTAAGTGCCCCCTGCCTTTTTTCTTCCTCGTATCATGTCCATGCTGTATATGCCATAGTTGCTAGTAGCTGTCTGTGTTGGGAAAGCTACAGTCGACTAGACCTGCTTGTGTTCAGGTCGCATTTACCTTTCTCAGAAGTGCATATATGTAGGACAAAACAGTATCTCTGATGAGATATGTCTAATATCCAGATACTTAGATCTTTCCTTGTGAGCTTGCCAGAGAAGCACTGAAGCACTGTCCATCCTCTGCTGGAAAGCATGCCGTGCCTCCAGGTGTCCTGGGACTGGGCAGGAGGGAGGAAGGGCCACGCCAGGACCATTTTCAGTGTGTGCAGGCCCTCGGGTTCTCCGCAGTGGAGATTTTGGAGTGGCATCTAATTTCATAATAAAATTGGTTAATAGCCTTTTACCCGGTCTTCCAAATATTTTGATGTAATTCATCTTTACTTCCATTTTCAGTAAGTACGTGGTACAATGTTCTAGAGTTTTCTGTGGGGTGTAGTTCTAGGGAGAAAATTAGGTTGCTTTTTGCTTTTTCTTCTTGTGTGAGATTTAGGCCTTTCAAAAATGTGTGATGGAAGTCAGTTGCCATTCATCCATCTGTTTTTCAGCTTCTGAAGTTTTGGTGTAATTATCTCCTTGTTTATTGCCTTTGGACTCACAGATTTGAAAGAGAGAAACAAATTCATTGTTGGGTGGGGTACCAGAGTCATCATGTCCATGCTTAGCTCATCTTTGGGATATAATCTTCACTTATTTATTTTGCTTCTCCATCTTAGAATTTTCATGACGTGACGGGGACTGGGGGACTGAGCTGAAGGATCAGATTTAGATGATGAGATGAAAGAGTGAGTATAAAATGAGATGAAGGCACAGTAAAGATACCAACACAGGAATTCTGTCATTTTGCGTATTGTCTGGTAGATTCTTGGAAGAGAGGTGTTTGAAAGCCCTTCCATTCGAGCGTAGCAGTGGTGGCGTTTAAAAGGCAGCCATCAGTGTTGTGCTGTCCAGTTGTGTAGATGGCCACCTATCCTACAGATGTCTTTATGGATAGATATAAATTACCAAAAAGTGAACCGATAGGAGCTAAGAAAAATCATTTTCCCAGACCGCGGCTCAAATCCCTTCTGTTGACTATAGATGCATCTGGAACTCTTTATTGTGAATTATGCCCATAGGAATGCCAGCTCTTTGAGAAACAGTTTAAATATGCTGTTTGCTCCGTGGCTTGCGGAAACAGGAAACTACACAGTATACATTTGTTAGTATTCTCGCAGGAGTTTGTTTATTTTAGCCGTAACAAAAATAGCTTCATTTAAGGATTTTTTTTTAAAAAAAGATGTTTATTTTATTTATCTGAAAGATAGAGTGTTACTGATAAAGAATCAGAGACCTTCCATCTGCTTGTTTGTTCTCCAGATGGTCTCAGTGACCGAGGTGGGGCTAGGTCAAAGCCAGGAGCCAGGAACTCCATCCTGGTCTCCCCCACGGCTCATCTGCCACTGCTTCCGCAGGTGCATTAGCAGGGAGCTGAACTGGACATGGAGCAGCTCTGACGTAGAATGCTCATGTTGCAGCCACATGCTGACCTCATGTTTTCTGCTGAAAATTCCTTGACAAGTCAAAAGTAAAGAAACAAACAAACAAACAAAAAAACTGCTATAGTCTCATCACATGGACATAATCCTGGTAAAACTGTTTACTGTTGTTTTTTTGCCTTGCACACATGTGTAAATAACCTTAGCCATAGGCTTCTCTGGCCTAAAGTTTTTTTTTTTTTTTAAGATTGATTTTATTTTTATTTTATATTTATAAAATCAGATATACAGAGAGGAAATGAGACAGAGAGGAAGATCTTCCATCTGATGACTCACTCCCCAAATGACCACAACGGCTGGAGCTGCGCCGATCTGAAGCTAGGAGCCAGGAACTTCTTCTGGGTCTCCCACACAGGTGCAGAGCTCCAAAGCTTTGGGCCATCCTCAGCTGCTTTCCCAGGTCATAAGCAGGGAGCTGGATAGGAAGCGGGGCAGCGGGATTAGAACCAGTGTCCATATGGGATCCTGGTGTGTTCAAGGCGAGGACTTTAGTTGGTAGGCCACCGCACTGGGCCCTAGGCTGCTACTTTATATATATTATATACATATAACATCTTGCACCTGCTGGTTCCCCCAGGTGGCCACAGCAGCTGGAACTGAGCTGATCTGAAGCCAGGAGCTTCTTCTGGGTCTCCTATGCAGGTGCAGGGTCTCAAGGCTTTGGCCCATCCTCTACTGCTTTCCCAGGCCACAAGCAGGGAGCTGGACAGGAAGAGAAGCAGCTGGGACACGACCTGGTGCACATATGGATCCCCATGCTCGCACAGGGAGGATTTAGCGATTGAACCATCATGCCAGGCCTGGGTGTTGTTATTTAAGTTATAGTTAAAGGAGCTGACTGTAGGAGTGGAGATCCAATGTATATACTTCAGTCTTACTGTTGAGGATTGAAAAAAAAAAAAAAACATTATCTCTTGTTTACCAAGCACTTTTGCAAGTCTTGAGTGAAAGATGTCTTCTTTTTTTTTGTGGAAATTGAGAAAAATTTTATTTAATTTGGGTTCCCAGACTAAAGTCAAATAACCCCTCTCATGCTGTAGCTATGGAAATACCCATGAACACTTCAATTTGATACTGCTACCATTCTTAAATCTAAGCGAGCAGGAACTATCTAATTCTTACCCATATGTGGACTGACCCACAGAGATGGCAGTCTTAGCCTTCCCTTTAGAAGATTCCAGTGCTTTAGACTTCTTGATATTAGAGTTCCTAGATGCTTACATGCTTGGACAACAAACTCAGCTAGATTGCTTCTCTCTAATGCCTGTGGAATGAGTCAAATGCAAGCATCTTTTTTATTCTCTGGTAATTTTTTCTTAGGATATTTTAACCTTTAAATGTGCAAATTAAAGATGAACATGATTAGAAAATTTATAAAAACTGGATATTAATTTTAGGTGACATTTATTCCTGTATACAGAAGAATTAGGCCTTAAAATTGTTATTACGATGGCGTCTAGAATTTGGTAGTTGGATGTCCAGATAAAATCCCCGCCATAGTTTTAGGTTATACTTAGTAGAGTGTGAGCTACCACTTAATTTACAAATTCTAAGAACAGGTTCTGACTCTTCTATGTATTTAAGAAAAAAATTCATACTGTTTATTTGATCCCAAGTAATTTTTAAAAGGGCCTATCACGCTACTTCCCTAGTCCTGCTGCTGTTTTTTGAGGGGTTGCTATACCAGCCCACTCTTTGAAATGCCATTTATAATCTAGCAAGACCCGTGTCATGAGACTTCTGATGGAAGTCAGGCTTGCAGAGTATTTATCACACAATCTTGTCTCCATCCTTCCAACCTGAGAGGTGGAGCTATTGAGAGTGCAGTGGGAGAAACATGCATTGCGTGGGATGCTGGGCCCGGGAAGAGTTCTATTACTCTCCCATTCTGTGGGAAGAAGGTGTGGGGAGGACGCAGACTTCTGCAGGCAGTTGCTAACCAAGCTAAGGGCTCTGTGCCCCTCCAGTGTGCCGCCTGATGTAAGAGTCTGGCATCCCTGGAGCACTGGGGACCCGGTCTTGCTCAAGGTAGCCACACAAGTCCCTGAAGCTCAGCTGGTCATCACTGGGTGAGGATGCTTCAGGGTCGCTGTAGATCTGAGTCAGGGCTCAGCTCAGGATTTCCTTCTTCTCTTTGTAAAAGCGTAGTTCTTGTTCGGCTTTTCTGGCTTCTTCCAGCTGCCTCAGGGCTATTCATAGCTCCTGGGAAAGAATTCTTGGTGACTTCTGCTCCTTCATGATCCAGTCCAGGACCATGTGGTTGCACATTTTTTCATCCAGGGAATACTGGGAATAGTAGGAGATGACTTCCTGAAACTCCAGCATGGTCTTCCCCGTGTTGGACTCCAACCTGTAGTGGTAGGCCCCGATACTTGTGCTGGGATCGTCTGCGTCATCTAAAGTGCCGCTGGTGGAGGCCACGGATTCCTGAACCCTTTCCACGATGAACTCCTTGGTGATCTTGTGAGAGGGTAGCTCGTTAAAGAGGAAGTTGATCAGGGCCAGTCTGCCTGCACCTCATCTGGCCTCTGCTCTACTTGGGCAACACTGAAAACTGCAAAAGCAACTTCCCCCTGGGAGAGTCACATAACTCACAAAGGGAGGCCCAGAATATGGCAGCGACTCATAGACCACCAAGCCTTCACTTGGGAACACAGCCCCCTCCTGCTGCTTGCTTTCCCCAAATTCCTGTAGCATTGACACAGTATTCAAGTCTTTGAAGACCAGAGCTGGGTTTCTGTGGGCAAGGCCGGGGTAATGATGTGTCTCAGAGATTCCAAGGTTCATTCCATCTCGGGTCTGCCTGTGCGAGACTTTGTGCAAGGCGTCCTCGCAGTCCTGGACTGAATTTTCAGATGTCTTCTTTTATTGTGAAACATCCAACTAGACTCACAATTTGGTAACATTTTAGAGGAAACTGCTTTAAAATCTTTTGAGTGTTAAAAGTTCATCTGAGGTCCCAACTTGGTAGCCTAGTAGCTGAAATCCTCACTTTGTAAGTGCCAGGCTCCCATATGAATACTGGTTTGTGTCCTGGCTTCTCCACTTTCCCATCCAGCTCCCTGCTTTGTGGCCTGGAAAAGCAATCTAGGACGGCCCAAAGCCTTGGTACTCTGCACCCATGTGGGAGACCCAGAAGAGGCTCTTGGCTTTGAATTATCTCAGCTCCGGCTGTTGTGGCCACTTGGGGAGTGAACCAGCAGATGGAAGATGTTTCTCTCTGTAAATCTGACTTTCAAATAAAAATAAATCATCTTTAAAAACAAGCAAAAAGCTCATCTGAGCGAGAGCAATCCCAACTACTGGTTTATTTCCCCAAATGTCTGCAGTGGCTGTGAGTGGACCAGGCTGTAGCCCAGAGCCAAGAACCGAATCCAGGCCTCCATGTGGGTGTCAGGGTTACTTGAGCCAGTTGCTTGAGCCATCACAGCTGCCCTGCAGGGTCTGTGTTATGGCAAACACATACTCCGGGGGAAGGCTTGCTCCTGCTAACACCTTTTTTTTTCCCCCCATAGCAGGTCACTATCCCTTTTCCAGAATACTCAGGAACAGAAAGATTTTGAATTTTGAAATATTTTTAGAGCTGGTGCTATGGTACAGCAGGTTGAGCTATTGTCTGCAGCACTGACATGCTATATGGGCACTAGTTCGAATCCCATCTGCTCCGCTTCCAAGCCAGCTCCATGCTAATAGCCTGGGAAAGAAGCAGAGGGTGGTCCAAGTCCTTGGGCCTCTCCCACCCACTCAGGAGACACAGATGAAATTCTTGGCTTTGGCCTGGCCTAGCCTTGACTGGCCATTTGGGGAGTGAGCCAGCAGATGGAAGCTCTCTGTCTCTCATCTCTCTCTCTCTTTCTCTGTAACTTTGCCTTTTGATTAAAGTAAGTAAATCTTTTTAAAAAATTTCCCTATATGTTGGTGAAATATCTTGGGGGTATAGGACTTACATGAAATTCATTTATGGTTCATATATACTTTTATTTTTAAAAATTATTTCATTTATTTATTTATTTATGATTTATTTTATTTTTATCACTGCTTTCCTTGGCCACAAGCAGGGAGCTTGATGGGAAGTGAAGCGTCTGCGATTAGAACCGGCACCCATATGGGATCCCGGCACGTTCAAGGCGAGGACTTTAGCCACTAGGCTGTTTTATATTTTATTTGATTTGATATTATATACACTTGATATACACACAATCTGACATGCCATTTTTGTACATTCTTAGTGCAGTAGCATTTTGACTGCAACATGGCACATGAAGCAGTGTGTGAAATTCTCCACCTGTGGGTCATGTTAACACTCAGTTTGAGATGTTGGGTTTTGGATTAAGGTGGCTTCGCTTTGCATAATATCTTCAAGCTGCATCCATACCATAGCCTGGATTGGAACATCATTGCTCTTTCTGGCTGACTACTCCTCTGTTGTTGTGTGTGCAGCACATTTTGTTTATCTGCTCATCTTTGTTGATGGGCTCTGTTTTTTTCTACCTTTTGGCAAGTTTGCATAAAGCTGCAGTGAACGCTGGTGTCCAAGTGTCTCTTTGAGTTTTGCTTTCAGTGTCTGGATGTTTGCTTAGGAGTGGAATTCCTGGGTCGTAGAGTCATCCTGCAGTTAACATTTGGAAGAATTGCTCAGCTGTTTTCTGCAACAGTTACTCCACCTTATGTTCCCAACAGCGATATGTGGAATTTTCAATTTCTCCACATCCTTATTATTTTTCCATTTGATTATGAGGTCTTATAATGAGTGGTCTCTCATTTTCCAGCATATTGGGCACCTTCTATCATATTGTTATTTGCATTTGTTCTTTGGAGAAGTATCTCTTGAAGTCCTTTGTCCACTTTAAACTTTGAGATATCCTTATTTAAAAAGATCTTTTTGTTTTGAATTGTAAGAGGTCTCCATATCCTGGATAGTAGATCTTTTGTCTTTATTTTCTTGACATTGTCCATTGATAATCAGAAGCTTAATTTTGATGAAGTCTGATTTACCTTTTCACTCTTTGGTTGTCCATGCCTTGCTGATACATTGGTAACAGGAATGTCATCAAGTTTGTCTGTTAGCTGAATTCTCCTCAGGTGATCCCAGGTTAGGCCCAAGATTGAAAAAAACCAAAACAAAAGCAAAACAAACAAAAAAACCCTGCCTTACAACATTATTCTTATCAAATACCTATTCTGTGTGATCGTGCTTTAGGGAAATGGGAGAAGAGATTGTGTGGAAGAAGAAAATAATTTTGTTCTTGCTAAGCACGTTGTACCAAAATCCCTTAACTTCACAAAGGGGTTTGGAGAGACCGTCCTTTTGATCATTTCCCATACCAGCTGAGTTCCTGGCACGTGCCCTGCGCTGTGTGTTGCCCTGCCCGGCATCCCCCCCACCCCCATTTGATGCTGTGAAGGTGCTGGGCTTCCTGTTTGTTGAGGCATTTCATGAAATCTCTTCTTAGCTCACATTTTGCCTTAACAGCGTAGTGCGCAGTATTCTGCATAAATTGCTTAAGCAACTCAAGCTAAACAGATGGATTATCTCGAGGGATTGATATTTTGGACCAGGGTTTAAATTTATCCTGTTTCACTTTGGAAGGTCAGAATATGTCTCGTGTTTTTACAATTCTGAAGTTTCCTTTTGGAAACCGATTGTGATGCTGTTGATGGTAATAATTAGCCCATTTGTGCTTGTGGTGTGAGTGCATCCTCTCTGGTGTAGTTCCTCTCGGCTGCCCCACTCATTGTTCAGTACCCCTACCATAAAAACACCGAGGTCAAGTGTGCCCTGTCAACATGTGATACGGTTTCTTCTGCCTTCCCCGCTCCCACAGCGGACCTGAGAAGGACGATCGCCGTCCTGCTGGAGGACATCCTGCAGCGCCTGATGAAGCTGGAGAGCAAGGTGGACTACATTGTCGTGAACGGCTCCGCCACCAACACTACGAATGGTGCTGCGGGGCATTTGGTGCCAGTGACCACAAACAAGAGGATCAACGCGTCGGGCAGCGTTAGATAGCACCTGGAGCGCCCTCCTCCCGCCCGGCTCCATCCACTGTAGATTCTGTCCTGCCACAGAAAACCTTTGTAATCACTGGTTAGTACAGAATAAACACTTGACAATTAAAAGCTCTAGGCATTTCTAAGGAATGTGCTGGATTCATGGAACTCTAATTCTGTAATATACAATTTTAAATGCGGTTAGTTTGCTCTCAGACAAGCGTCTTTGCTGCTGTATTATATCCTTAACAGGAATTTGGCAACATGGCTGATGTAGTACACAGATAAGTGATCTTTGTATAAATCTTTTGTGTTTGAGATCAAGCTGAAACAAAACCACCGAAAGTCATAGATGCATTTCTGTAAAATATTTATTTAACATATAACATGTTCTTCAGATGAGTTGAGAATATGGTTATTGGATCATTCTGTCATTTGTCTTCAGTAGCTATAACTTCAGACTGAGGCTTTTAAAAATGAGCTTACTTCTAGTACTATCTCTTTGTTATTTAGATAATGAGTGGAAAAAAGGAAGTATAACGTTGAAAACATTTTGAAATCATGACCCAAAGAATGTCTTCGTTTGCACTGTCCTTCAAAATACTGAAAGTTATTTAATGTATATGTAAAAATATTGCATTTTTACGAGTATTATCTTGAAATGGGTAGCACCTACTGTCCATAACCTGTTCTAAGAGTTGAGGCCATTTAATAAAATTGATACAGCAGTCTCTGCTCTCATACTTATGATTTTCTTACTTACATTCTGAAGAATAAAAGATATTTTTATGATGAGATTATAAATAACTGAAATATTCATGATGTTTCTCATCCATGGATGTCAGCTGGAGAATTTAACCCTTGGGTGTCTGTTTATTAGGAAAGCACTTTTCCGTGGCTGGATAAATTTGGCTTTCATTATATTTGGGGGGGGGACCAAGATTTTAGGTAGATTGGGACTCTTGAGGGCTTTGTCCAGATGTATATAATGAAGTATTTGTACTGCATTAAGTTGCTTGGGAAATGTTAATGTATATAAGAGTGCCCTGCTTTATGAAACTTTGGATTTGTATAACAGATGTGTTGATAACTCATTTTATATAATGACCATTTAAAAGAATTAAGAACATTTAAAGTATAAATTATGAAGATTGACTATCTTTTCAGGAAAACAGCTACTGTACATAGCACAAAAAATTCTAATCTTGGGTAATTCTAGTATAGAACATTTAATTTAAAACTTCCTTGTAGAAAACTAATTGCCATACGGTGACCTATATTTCATACTATTTATTCTCTATAAAAACTGCATCAGTGCAGCTAGCTTATAGATTTTAGACTATGTTGAATTTAGTTTTGGATATTGTATTATTCATTATTATATGCTACCACATGTAGTAGCAATAATTACAATAGTTTATGAAAATAACTGAGAAAATACTATTTCATGAAAGATAGTTTTCTGCAATGGTCTGTGTACCCTACCTTTATGTGAAGAAATTAATTATGTACCATTACCAGATAAAGTTTGGAATAATGTTGAGTCTCTCTTACTAGACATGTATATTTTTGTTTTTGTTTTCAGGGATCAAATAAAAATATATTATTTCTATTTATGAATTGTTGTGTTTTTCACAATAGTTGTACGTTTAATAAGTGGTAAATGATGAGAAGTGATCATTAAGATAACCTGGGGTATGTTTTGTCAGCTCCAAGTTGCAACAGACTTTTGCAGCAGTGGTGTTGAAGGTGCTATGCCGGTTTAGATGTGTGTTGTATGCTCAATTTCTTGTTGAAAGCTGGTTGGGCTTTTAAGAATAGATTAGTAACTGGGTTAATTCTCGTGGGGCTGAATTAATCACTGTGAGAGGTTGAGTGCAGATGAAGTCGAGGCTTCCCTGGGTGCTCTCCATGTCTTGGGACGCACACACAGCCCATGCTGGACGTGGCCTCTCATCTTGGACCGTCCAGCCTTCACCGTGAGCCAAATAGTTGTCCTGTCTTTGCAGACTGCCCAGGTCAGTGTGTGGAGCAGTAGCAGCACTGTGGCTTGCCTTCCCTCATTTCCCCCTCTTTTTCTCTGCTTCATGAATAAAATATGCTTAAAAAAGGAAATAAAGACATGGGAAGTCCAAAATGGAATATTTAGCTTTAGATTTTGTTTAAAATCATGAACTGCGAGCTAGAGCATTTTTCTCAGTAGGAAGAACACTGCTAATAAAGTGTACTGTGGCAATGGAAGAATAGGGGAAAAAAAAAAAACTAAAACAGGAAAGAAAAAAATATGCTGTGGCTTATAATCCATGACTGGGTTATAGATTCGGAAGGTTCAGGTCAGACTTATTCTGACCAGTTGGCTTTAAGTCAGGAGTTCCCATAATCCTTTGTTTAGGTTCTTGTGATGGACCTGCTTAGTTGGCTAGAGCACCTCACAGCACGCAGGTAAACACATTTCTTACATTGACCTGTTTATTACATACAGAGGGTGTTCTAAAAGCTACATGGGAACAGCCCAGTGATGGATTCACAGTGAAAGGTTGGCAGGGGAGGGGAGCGTCTGTGACCCATCACGGGGAACCACCTGCAGGCACTCCCAGGGGTTCTGCAGCCTGGAGGTGCTCCAAATACCGTCCTTTTGGATATTACAGAGAGGCTTTATTAAGCAGGCATGATTGATCACATCCCTGGGAATAACCCCACCTTTAGCCCCTCTTCCCTCTCTGAAGGTGGAGCCTGAAGGTAAAGTCTCAAGCCAGTAATCACAGGGTTGGTTCCCTAGGTAACCAGCACCCCATTCTGCATAATTCAGGCTCCGCAGACATCCTTCATCTCATTGTAGAGACACTTAGCGCATGGGAGATTCCAGGGCTTTCCTAGCTGTGTGCTAGGACACAAGAAACTGATTTTTTTTTTAATTTATATTTTTTAATGGAAAGATTTACAGAGAGAAGAAGAGACAGAAAGGTGTTCAGTCTGTAAGTGGCCACAACAGCCGAAGCTGAGCCAATCCAAAGTCAGGAGCCAGAAGATTCTTTTGGGTCTCTCATGGGTGCAGGTGTTCTAAGGCTACGGCCTATCCTCCATGTTTTCCCAGTTCACAGGTAAGGGACAGGAGGGAAGTGCCAGGAACCGGTACCATATGTGATCCTGGCACATGTAAGGTAAGGACTTTAACCACAGGCTTCTGTTCCAGGCCCAGAAACTAATTTTAAATAGGTTTTTAATGACACTAACTGATTTTTAAAACTATTTTTAATAGAAAGGTAGATATACAGAGAGGAAGATCTGCCTGCTGGTTCACTCCTTTAGTGGCTACAATGAAAGGAACTGAGCCAATTCAAAGCCAGGAGCTTCTTATGGGTCTCCCATGTGGGTACAGGGTCCCAAGGTCTTGAGCTGTCCTCGACTGCTTTCCCAGGCCACAGGCAGGGAACTGGGTGGTAAGTGGAGCTGGCAGGATTAGAACCGGTGCCCATATGGGATCCCAGCGCATGCAAGGGGAGGACTTTTAGCCACTAGACTACCGCACCAAGCCCAACATTATCTGATTTTAAATGACACTATCAGAATCCTTTTCTATGTGTTCATTTGTTAGAACCGGTGCCCTGCAGAGGGGCTGTGTCCCTTTGTGTTTGTGACAGCTGATGCATCCTGTCAGCTCTTGATGTGTGTGGTCCCTTTGAGAAAGTTGCTGTTCAAGTCGCCACGACGCTCACTGAGCTGAAGCCCCAGCCTTTCCTCTTTTCCTTCCTGGCTTTGCTGGGCTTCGCCTTCCTGTGCTAGAGCTGGGAGTGCCTGTGCCACCCCTGGGTACTGGGCGGGGGGGGGGGGGAGGCCCTTTATGTCCTTCCTTTCAGCTACCAATATTGTATGCACCTGGCTGGCCATTTTCTGAAAACTGTTCTAAATATTTCAGCATTTTCCTGCTTAATTTTGAGAACTGAACTTATTAGTTTCCTATGATCGCTGTAACAAATCAATCCACATAGAATAGGTTAATACATTAAAAAAAAACCCTTATACATATATAAGATTTATATAAGATATAAATATAGTAAACAGTTCCCTTATTTCACAGTAGAGATTTAGGAGTATGGTGACACTGACCCACCCACCTCCTCTCTTAGTTTTTTGTTTTTAATTTTTATAATGATAGTTTCATTTCACTGAACACTCCATTGGGTAAAGATTTCAACAGTGGGAAAAAACCGCGACTATACATCAAGAGTGTAAACACAGGCTTTCAACAATAATCATACCTCATAATATCAATCGCCCTTGTATAAATCCCATTTTTGGGGTACTCTGTGTAACCACAGATCAGGGGAAACGTGTATCTTTGGGAGGACAAGTTCTTGCTCACAGAGCTTGGTGGGCAGAAATCTGAGTTTCACTGGCTAAACTCAGGTGCTCGCAGTGCCCATGAGGGTTGGGTAAAAATGGGTTTCCTTGCTCATTTCAGCATCCAGAGCTGCATTCTTTACATTCCTGGCTATTGGGTTGCTTTTTTTTTTGTCCATTTCCAAAAACCAGTATGAAGCATCTTGCTTCAGTGACCCACAAATGCCTCCCTGCTCTGTTCCCTAGGATGCTGTGAGTTACCAACTGCTGGATAATCAGGGGGTTGTCTCACCACTTCAAGATCCTTACTTTAAGAGTAGCTGTTGGGTCCCAAACAGAAAGAAAAGAGAAGGAACTGCCGATTGCCTAATTGGATCAGTTAATGATGCAGCCATGTATCGCAATATTGCACTGTATCCCATGAAAAATGTTAAAAATTTAAAAAAAAATAGAAAAAAGGATTCTTGAATTTGAAAAGCCTCTTTTCCCACATGACAGGGATTTGGATTTGCTTAATTTGGGGGAGGGAATGAGGGAATTCAGCCTACTGTTGAGGGACCTTTATCCCAAGTTATCGCGGTGTGAGTGATGAATTCAAAGCAGAGGCACAGATAAGGTGTGAATGAGAGAGCAGGGGTATTTAACGAGGTATCACACATTCAGAAGTGAATGAGAGAGGAATGATTACCCCTACGCAAATGCAGCTCCCTTTTATTGGGTAGGAGATGGTGTCCTAACAGAAGGGCACTGGGCAGAGTCTGGGTGGGATTCAATGTGTGTGGTGATTTCCGGGACGCGTTCATGGCATCTCCGCTTGGAGCTCGGTATACGCGAGGCCATCGTGATGTCTTGTGCGCCTGAGGAACTGGGTTCAGCTGCACGTTGGGGAAGTGGGTGTGCCGGGCCTGCAGCCTTGTGGGATTGGTCTACAAGGGGGTGGGATTTTAGGGTTGCGGGGCTGCAGCCAGCAGATGGCGAAGCCCTCTCAGTTCCTTTGTTCACCGGTGGGCTCCCCGTCTAGGCAGGATCACTCCCACAGGGCTAAATCCAGCCTGTTTGTTCATGAGGGCTGGGAGTGACAGTTCAATTTTCAACTATGACTGACTTAAAAAAAAAAAATGGAAAGACAGAATGTGTGTGTGCGTGAGCAAGCAAGCTAGATGGAGTCCTTTCAGGGAATGTTCTCGTTTTAGTCCTCCTGTTTGCGGTTCTTATCATTGGTTTGTGATTTCAGATTATGATCTCACATTCAGCATGACTTTTGTAGTGGGAATCCTGCCAGCCCGAGAAACTGAAGTTGTGGCTGAAAATGATTTTGTGTTTGCCTTCCACCTGGTAGCCTGGAGGTGCTGTCAGTCCAGGGCTGAGTTTTATCTCTCTACCTGGGGCAGTTACTGATGGCTGCCTCGGGTGCAGATTGGGGACTGAGCTTATTTCAGACCCAAGAAGTCACTGCGGCCTCAGCCTGGAACCCGAAAGGACTGCAGGAGCCAGACACGGTACCTGACTAGCAGGACTCCAGTCTGCTGAGTCGAGGCCAACATTCCTTACCTTTTATGGCTCAAGCAGAGCCTGTTCCAGCACCCAGGTCAAAAAGGGGGATAAAACCCTCACCCGCACCATTCTGCCGGCCTTCTCGCCTCGCTCCCCTTGATCGGGTGCGAGGAGGGGGGCCAAGAGCGAATCTTAATAAAAGTCTCTATACATCTTTTTTTTGGTATGTGTTTGATGTTTTCTATTCACGGATAGTCTGACAGACAAGACCAGGCAACTCTCAGGGATTCAGATCCCAAACTCTAGAGAGGGCAGGCTCATGGTTATTAATAGTAGGGTAGATTAAGGAAAAGAAAGCCCGACCTTGCATCTGGACAGAGGCTAACCTTACTGCGTCTACTGCTGATGAACGCATTTCCCCCTCATCTTTTTTATTTTCATTTTTTAAAGATTTATTCATTGAAAGTCAGATATACAGAAAGGAGGAGAGACAGAAAAAAACGATCCTCTGTCCACTGATTGACCCCCCCCCCAAGTGGCTGCAAAAGCAGGGAGCAAGCGGATCCAAAGCCAGGAACACCCCCACTCAGGTCCCCAAGCGGTGCAGGGCCCCAAGGCCTTGAGCCATCCTTTACTGCTTTCCCAGACTACTAGCAGGGAGCTGGATGGAAAGCGTGGCTGCTGAGATTAGAACCATTGCCCATATAGGATCCTGGGGGGTGCAAGGTGAGGACTTTAGCCACTAGGCTGCCACATGGGGCCCTTTCCCTCATCTTTCTTTGCTCTAGCCATGGGTATGGTCCCAGTCTTCTGTCCCCTCATGGACTTGTGACTGACACTCCCTGCTCGCTAAGATTGCAGCATAGTGTCACCGCGTTCTGTGGTAGCCCAGCTTCTATCCCTTTTTCTGGCCCTGATTTTTAGTTCCTTCCCTTTTCAGCCTGTAGTTCCTCCTACTGGCTTATGTCCTGTCTTTTTCTCATACAACCCATGTCATAACTTGCTGATGCAAGTGCTCACATGTTGCTGCTACGTCACGACCACACTTTATGAACATTTTCACCTGCAGTGGCTGTATGTTGCTTTGGGGGTGCATGGTCACCCGGAAGCCTTGTCACCAAAAGTCATGTCTTCGGTAATGTTTCAAGCGTCACAACTGCCACTTCCTGCCTCCACAGCACTTTCGTTCTGGGCCCCTGACTTTGCCAGAAAAGTCATGGCTGGCGTCATCTTTCTATCGGGCCTGTCAGGTCCTGTGTGATGGATGTCTTGCCCCTTTCTGCCCTTAGTCTTTTCTCGCTTGGGCAACATTCCAACTATGCTTATCTCTTTCTGAACACAAAGGTTTCTACTTCCGGATGCTCATGCTGACTCATCTGCTCGAGGTTCTCTTTTTCTGTGGCTGCGGCTTACCCTTGCTTCCTCCAGGCTGCTGCTCAAGTTCCCGACTGTGAGGAGTGACCGGATTATGGACCCCCACGATTGGCAAGACCCCGCCATTATAGAACCCGGTGCCCTTTTGAATACCTGCTTCCCCTAGGTCTCAGCATTGGTGTCTACAAACTTCGCGTCTCTTAGGTTCAGATTTGGTTGTCCGCCAATCCGCTGTGACCTCATAACGATGTTCTCACCAATCTGCTGTAACCTAGTAACGCAGTTCGCACCAATCCGCTGTAACCTCATGGTGCCGTAGGTGGCCCCTCCCCCAGCCTATCGCAGCACTTTCCAATGTCCTGCCACTGAGAGTCCCATTCATTAATCCCTCGCGTGCAACTCACGGCCCTATAGGCCAATCCCTCACGCCCCAAGTTTCCAGTACTCCCAATTCCCGTCAATCTGCCTTCTTTCTCTTGCCAGCACTTGTATCACTGGAAAAACACATATATTTGTTAAAAGGCAGCGTGGCACAGAGAGGGAGAGGCAAAAGAGCTTCCTGTGCCATGTGCTGCTTTATTACCAAATGCCTGCAGCAGCTGGGGTTCGGCCAGGCCAAAGGCAGGAGGCAGGACCCCATCTGGGTCTCCAACATAGATGGAGCTACTATGGTGGCCCGAGTACTTTGGCTCCCAGCCGTGTCACCAGGAAGCTGGATCACAAGCCTGGAGTAGGTAGGGGACAGTCCTGTGGTATAGCAGGCTAATCCTCTCATTACTGGCTGGTATCCCACACATGTGGACACTGGTTCAAGTCCTAGCTCTTATATTTCTGATCTAGCTCCCAGTGTGGTTGCCCAGGAAAGCTGAGAAGGATGATCCAAACCTTGGGACCCTGAACCCACGTGGGAGACCTGGAAGAAGCTCCTGGTTCCTGGCCTTATATCAGCCTAGCTCTGGCCATCAAGACCATTTGTGGATGGAAGATCTCTCTCTCTCTCTCTCTTTGTCTTTCCCTCCCTCCCTGTAACTCTTTCAAGCAAAATCTAAAAAAAGAAGAGATGTGTGAAGTACTGGGGACTTGAGCTAGCACTCCATGGGATGCAGATATCCCAAAAGTGGCAGCTTAACCTACAGCTACAATGCCTGCCGAGGTGAATTCATTCCAGTTTCTCTAAGATGAGGGCAGCACCTTCAGTGACCTGGGAATCATCTCCACTCAGCTCGCCAAGGTTCCAGTACCTGTATACACCACACTAAGCCCAGGCTTTAATTATAACTACATACAATTTTTTACAAAGGAAAATACATGTTTTGGCGACCAGCATCATGGCATAGCAAACAAAGCCCTTACCTATGGTGCCAGCATCCCATATGGCTGCCAGTTCAAGTCCTGGCCACTACACTTCTGATCCAGGTTCCTAATGGCTCGGGAAGGCGACAGAGAATGGCCCAAAGCCTTGGGATTTTGTACCCACATGGGAGACCCAGAAGAAGATACTGGCTCCTATCTTCGGAGTGGCACAATTCCAGCTACTGTGGTCATTTGGGAAGTGACCAGCGAGTGAAAAGTCTCTCTGTTTCTCCTTATCTCTCTATAACTCTACCTTTCAAGCAAAATTTAAAAATGAATCTTAAAAAAAATTTATGATGTTTACATAGTTAAGAAGGTTGCATACCCATATGGACCACAGGTTAGAGTTTTGTAAATTTTATAGAAAAGTTATTTTATAAATCTGTTTCATTTTTATTGGAAAGTCAGACATACAGAGAGGAGGAGAAACAGAGAGAAGGATCTTTGCCTGCTGATTCACTTCCCAAGTGGTCGCAAAGGCCGGAGCTGTGCCGATTCGAAGCCAGGAGTCCAGAACTTTTTCTGGGTCTCCATGTGGGTGCAGGATTCTAAGGCTTTGAGTCATCCTCCACTGCTTTCCCAGACCACAGGCAAGGAGCTAGATGGGAAGCAGGGCTGCCGGAATTAGAACTGTGGCCCATATGGGATCCTGGCACATGTAAGATGAGGGTTTTAACTGTGAGGCTACCGTGCCACGCACAGGATAGTTATTTTAAAAAATGATATATTTGGACCTGATGTAGTAGCCTAGTGACTAAAGATCCTTGTACATGCCAGGATCTCATATGGGCACCAGTTGGTATCCCAGATGCTCTACGTCCCAGATGCGGATGGGGGATCTTTCTGTCTCTCCTTCTCTCCCTAAATCTGCTTTTCCAATTTAACATAAATATATTTTAAAAATTATATCTTCTATTTATTGGAAAAGAAGAGTTGCAGAGAGAGAGGGTGAGACATGAAGAGAGAGTTCCCCCAGATTCACTCCCAAGTGGCTGTAAAAGTCAGGGCTGAACCAGGTTGAAGGTAGGAGCCTGCGACTCTGTCTGGGGCTGCCACTTGAGAACAGCAGCCCAAGCACTCAGGCTGTCTTCTGCTGCTTTCCTAGGCGCCTTGGCAGGGAGCTGGAGTGGAGCAGCTAGGGTTCAAATCTGATGGCAGTCACGAGATGCCAGCATCAGTGAAGGTAGCGAAACCTGTGCTACCACTGCAGTAGTGGTCCCTAGAATAGCCATTGCACTCCTTTCAAATTAGTTACTGAAAATAACCCCATAGAATCAACTGTTAGGTATTTGTGTATTTAATAATACAGTTTTAGAGACACTTATTGTATGAATGTAGATAAAACATAAATCAGGACTTAGGAGTCAGAAATGCCATTTATGTAATGAAGTCACATTTTCCCAGGGAATTTTCCAGAGTCTTTTGTTGTTCTAACAGTTTTGTTGTATTAATAGTAATCCAGGGCCCGGTGGCGTGGCTCAGTGGCTAAAGTTCTCGCCTTGAACGCGCCGGGATCCCATATGGGCACCAGTTCTAATCCCGGCAGCCCCAATTCCTTCCAGCTCCCTACTTGTGGCCTGGGAAAGCAGTAGAGCACGGCCCAATGCTTTGGGACCCTGCACCCGTGTGGGATACCCGGAAGAGGTTCCTGGATCCTGGCTTTGGATCGGCATAGCATTAGCCGTTGCGCTCACTTGGGGAGTGAATCATCGGATGGAAGACCTTCTTCTCTGTCTTTCCTCCTCTCTGTATATCTGACTTTCCAATAAATAAATAAATCTTTTTAAAAAAATAATAGTAATCCAGATCATTGGGCCATGATATAGGGCCTAGATATATTTTGAACATACTAAAATAATTTCCTGTATTTGTGATATTAATAGGAGCTCTTATTTAAAAAGTGATTTTTGAACATAGTTATTATTTATTTAAAGTCAAAATTATGAGGCAGGGAACAGAACTAAAAAAGGAAAAATGAAAAAAGACTATTTTTAACTGATCATATTCGTTTTTAAATGTAGGATAACTAAATGTACTCATGAAATAATCTAAAAGCAAAGGGATCTTTTTCTCAGTTGAACATGTTTATGGTTGAAATTTTAATTTCAAACAGCCTCTCGAACACAGCAGTCCTTTCTACTGTAACTGGAAAACTGACACCAGCCTAGTATATGACAATTTGGGCTGTGAAATTTCAATAGACAAAAATAGACACATCAGAGTTATACTCTATTAAATCCCTTCCAGGTTTTACATATATCTTCAATGGCTTTTTTAGATATTATATGGAACCATTTAACAAACATTTTCCAAGTATGTCTTGTAAGTCAACACTATGGCAACCGTGCAAAATCACAAATTATCCTTTTGCAGTGGAGCTTTCCTGAGAGCTAATGAAATAGGCAGCGTGGGCCTCATAGGCTGGAGCCCAGCCAATCCTCTTGAAGATGTCATTTTTATTATCTTTGGCCTAAAGGAGCTTTCCCAGAGTCCACCTCCTAGTCAAAAACACAATACCATGCTAATTGCTGCAAGACACAGCAAGTCCCCAGGAAGAACTGGCTTTTGAAGGTGGTGCTGGAGGAAGGGCTTGCAAAGGACAGCCATTGTATTTGATTTGCAGGATTGAAGAGAAAAGCAGAGATTTGTGGCCAGCGTTGCCACCTGCGGTGTTGACATCCCATATGTATGCTGGTTCAAGCTCTGGTTGCTTTACTTTCCCTTTAGCTCCCTGCTGATGACCTTGGAAAACAGTAGAGGATGACCCAAGTACTTGGGCCCCTGCATCTACGTTGGAGACCCGGAAGAAGTCCCTGGCTCCTGGCTTCAGCTTGACCCAAGTCAGTGGATAGAAGATGTCTCTCTCTGCCTACACCTCTCTGTAACTCTGCATTTCAAAGAACAATAAATCTTAAAAAAAAAAAAAAAGTTGAGACTATTGCCAGCCCATGCAGGCACTGAGATCTGAAATGGAAACTTTCCCATAAGAAGAGAAGGAGATAGAAAGATCTCCTGCTGGTTCACTCCCCAAATGACCTCAATGGCCAGAGCTGAGGTGATCCAAAGCCAGGAGCCAGGAGCGTCTTCCATGTCTCCACATGGGTGCAGGGTCCCAAGGCTTTGGGTCATCCTCTATTGCTTTCCTAGCCACAAGCAGGGAGTTGGATGGGAAGTGGAGCAGCAAGGACACAAACCAGCATCCATATGGGATCTTGGGCATGCAAGGTGAGAATTTTAGGCACTGGGCCATTGCACCAGGTTCTCTTTTTATGTATCCAGCATTTACCATACACTCTACAGCTGTGTATTTAAGCCAAAGTGTGGCTTGGACTTGGAGGAATCATTTGCCTGTTGTATCAGGGGACTGGATTGCTGGCTGGGATTGTTAGGATCAGTGTGTTGACTAGAATGTCACGGTCTAGGCTTCAGCTTGAAATCTGAGGTCTTTCTGGCAGATTTCCCGCTGACCAGCAAAATGGTTAAAAGAACAGATCCTGTGCCAGACACTGGAGTTTTTTTTTTTTTTTTTTTTTTTATTGGAAAGGCAGATATATAGAGAGGAGAGACAAGAGAGGAAGATCTTCCGTCTGATGATTCACTCCCCAGGCGGCCGCAACGGCTGGAGCTGAGCCAATCTGAAGCCAGGAGCCTCTTCCGGGTCTCCCACGCGGGTGCAGGGTACCAAAGCTTTGGGCCGTCCTCGACTGCTTTCCCGGGCCACAAGCAGGGAGCTGGATGGGAAGTGGGGCTGCTGGGATTAGAACTGGTGCCCATATGGGATCCAGGGCGTGCAAGGCGAGGACCTTAAGCACTGCGCCACCGCGCCAGGCCCTTCAACAACAATTTACGACACCGTGAAGTTAATTGACATGGTATTGAGTGACCAGTATGTTAGAAAATGCAAGTTCTTAACCACATCCTGTAACTACTTCATTGACATCTCAATTATAGGTTATACACAACCGACTGCTACACACCTTAAAATAGTTATAGGATACTATTCAGCTGTCTCCTGTCTGTTTTCATTTATATATTTAGGAGCTTAAAGTATTCAAGAGTGATTTCTACTGAACTACTTGAAGTTTAGGATATTCCAAACAGGCTTATGCCTCAAACAAGCCATGTGTTAACAATTGAGGAACAAAATAGTTACAGGAGGGTAGTTACTCTTGATATTTGAGACTGATGTTTAAAAAGAAATGCTCCTTTGCTCATTTAGAATGAACATCCTTTAAACAGACAAATAAAATTGGAACCCAGAGCAGTAGCCTACTGGTTAAAGTCCTTACCTTGAACATGCTGGGATCCCATATGGGCACTTGCTGTAATCCTGGCAGCCCCACTTCCCATCCAGCTTCCTGCTTGTGGCCTGGGAAAGCAGTCAAGGACGGCCCAAAGCCTTGGGAACCTGGACCCACGCAGGAGATCTGGAAGAAGCTCCTGGCTTTGGATCGGCTCAGCTCTGGCCGTTACAGCCACTTGGGGAGTGAGTCATCAGACAGAAGATCTTCCTCTCTGCCTCTCCTCTTTTCTGTATATCTAAGTTTCTAATAAAAATACATGAATCTTAAAAAAAAAAAAAGAGGCCAGAGTCTCTTAGTCTGCTACATTTCAGCTTTAAGATGCCTGAGAAAATACATTTTGAATCAGAATGTCAGTAAGAGATAATAGAAGGTATTTTCCTGGCTACTAGCGGAGGCCAGGGAGCTAGGAGGACACTACAGCCAAGAACTCCCTGTTGCTGAGGTTGCTGCAGTCTTCCAGAATCACTGCTTTAGTCCTGTGCTTCTGCTTGTGCGGCCACGTGCACTGTGTGTGTTCAGGGTGAGGGAATAGATGCTGGGGAGGATCCTGGATGTGCTGGATCTTTTGGATAATAGATCCAGGGTAATGTCTTTGGAGAACTGCTCTCTGGGCTAGTGTGGCAGCACATTGGATTAAGTCCCCATTAGCAATACCTGTATCCCATGTCCAAATGCTCAAAATGGGTTTAAGCCCCCAGCTGCATCACTTCCAATTCAGCTCCCTGCTACTGCACCTGGAAAAGCAGTGGAAGATGACCCACTTGCTTGTGGGGGACGGTCCCTGCTGCCCATGTGGGAGACCTAGCTAAAGCTTCCAGCACCCAGCTTTGGCCTGGCCCATCCCCCACCCTCTCTTGCTACCATC